GTTGGTGTAGTAGTGGCGGTGGACGATGGTGGAGATGCTGTTAGAGACAACGTTGAACTGGCGGCACAACTGTTGATGGTGGTCATAAATTAGACTAGTTGTGACCGCATAATGGACTATTCGTGACCTTAAAATTCGACAATTTGTGACTAAAAATTAATTTGTTACCTGTAATTTTTTGATCCGTGACCAATAAAATAATCTGTGACCTATAAAATTATTGATTTGTGATCTCGAAATAATCTGTGACCTGCAAAATTTTTGATTTGTGATCGATAAACAAATTGTGACCTATAAAATTTTTGACTTGTAATGTGATCATTTGAAAATAACTCGTGACTATGAACAAATTCTGATTCGTGACCTGGACTGTGACTTATAACTTGAGTTGTGACGTGGGCTGTGACTTGTGACATGAGTTGTGACTTGGGTTGTGACTTGTGATCTGAGTCATCGGAATAGGAGCAGACGCCGGAGCGATCGCCGGAATCGATATCGGAGCGATCGCCGGAGCAGTCACCGGAATAGTTGCCGAAGCGATGAGGGTGAGGGTGGGAGTGGTGGGGGTGGGTTAATTATATATATATGTATGTATGTATGTATGTATATATAGATTAAAATATCTGATTTTTGAAATGTGAAAGTTATTTTGTTATTTTTGTAATAGGGCAAAGATAAAGTAAGTGAAATGAATTTTTCCCTTGCCACATCAGGTCCAGTTCATCTAATAGGGTCCAAAAGGACGATATCTGTTTGACGAGAAAAAAAAAAGAAAAAAAGTGAAACTTTATTCAAAGATGAATAATTATTCAGAGAAGTTAAAAAGTATAGAGAATATTTACCCCCACTAATTAATAATAGTTGAGGATAGGAGTCCTATCCAAAAAGATTGCTGGTAAGAGGCAAATTTTGAAGATGAGACGGGTATAAACTATTACCATAAATACAAAGTTTTATTTCATCGAATACCAATTTGGTATACTATATGAACAAAATTAAGAGAGTGTTTGGTGATGATTAAAATTAGATTTTTAATGGATTGTGATAAAAGTTTTTGAAATGTGTGGTTGAAAAGATGTTAGACATATGAAAGATGTGGTTAATATTAATTGTTTGACTTTGACTTGAATTAAAATCAGATTTTAATCCGATCAAAACAGACCTTGAGAAAAAAGAACGTGCAACAAAATATATCTCAATTCAACGTACGTCATCATAACATTATAAGCATGAACGTAGATAGGGAGAGCCTAGACGAGCCCCCAGGCCCAATTAGTTTTGCAAGGGAATTTTTTTTTTTGGGTCCCCTACACTTTGTGCCTGATTAAAGGAATAAAACGTGAGTTTTAAGATTCTAGGGAAGACTGATTATCATTTGTAGGTAAATGTCATTTTCTGAATTTGTTTATATTACTAGGCCAAATACTTTTATAAATTGATATGACATCTCTTGCAATTATATATTCAAATTGAGGCCTTGTATGGGAGG